GCTACAAAGCAGTGCCGCGGCACTGCTTTGAAGCACCCAGGTGCTTCAAAGCAGTGCCCCGGCACTGCTTTGAAGCATTCTGAGGGCGGAGGCCCTCCAGGGAGGCGCGAGGATCGCAGGGGCCGAGGGAGGCCCTCCAGGGAGGCGTTCGTCTCGCCATCTGGCTCAACCGCGCGCGGCCCCACGGCCCGCACCTCCGCCTTGCCCGCAGTTGCGGCTGTGTCCAGCGCAGTAGCACACATGCCGACTTCGAGCGAATGGAGCCCTGTGGGCGTTGAGAAGGTCTTGTGCATCCGTGGAGGTTGGCTTGCGCAGACCACCCCCGTCCCCGAAAAGGATGTCAAGGTGCTCCACGCAGGGCCCCTCGGAGAGATAAGCTTCGTGCACGTGAACATGCAAAAGGCTTGGCTGCTCAAGGTGTGCGCCAAAGGTAAACCGACCGCAGGGGCCTTGAAGGCCTCCAAGGCCTGGGACGCGCTGAAGAAAGAAGTCGCGAAGCAGGGCGGCGCCGCAGTTGCGGACGATGTGAGCGACGGCGACGCGGGGCACGAAGCAGATGACCCCATGTCGTCCCTGGTCAGCTCCACGGACGCCACGAAGAAGCAGGCAGCGACCCCGACCAGCGCCAAGAAGCAGAAGACTGGAACGCGTTCGGCGACTACTGGCCTGCCCAGGGGCGAGGCCGTGGAGTCGGCCATAGCCACTGTGCACTCTGTACAGATGCCCGCAAAGAGCCCCATGAAGTTTCCGCACGACACGGCCATTCGAAACGTGCGGGTGGCCAGCTTCAAGCGGAGGACGTTGTGGCTGGACGCTGCAGACCTTGGGTGGCTGATCGACATGATCGTGGACGACGTGAGCCTCGGCGGTGTCCCCGACATCGGCGACGGCGACAAGGACGAGGCCGCAGTGGCGGACAGGGACTGGGCAACGGCGGTTGACCCTGACACCCCGCTGGCGAAGCAAAAGGAGGTCGACCCCCCCGTGGCGCAGGGGAGCGGCTCTGGCTTCACCGTCGTTTGGGACTTCAAGGGCGCTTGGGTCGCGACCATCACGCGAGAGTGTGCCAACAAGGGCAAAAGGATCGAGATGGATGGGAAGAAACTTACAAAGAAGAAGTGGCAGTCGGCGCAGTCGGTGAAGGGCTACGACTACGAGTGGGAGGGCATGACGCAGCACCAGCGCAAGCAAGCGGCTCTGGATTACCTCGAGCTCAAAATCCCCAGTCTGTTCGACTGAGGCCCGAAGCCGTATGGGCCGCAGTTGCGGTGGGGCTACTGAGTGCCCGCAGTTGCGGGGTGGCTGGGTGCGCGTGAACACGCGGAGGGCGAGGCGGTGTGAGGAGGCAGGCGGAAGGTTTAGGGCGTTCCACGGGTGCACGCCTCAGTGCGCCAACTTGTGTGGGCGAGCGTTTTTCTTAGAGAAGCATGGAGTGAAGCATCGAAACCCTG